TCTTGGCCCTTAGTCTTTTCCGTTCTTATTCTGATTGTCGTCGAACTCCATCCCTCTTTAAACGCAACAGAAGACACCTCAGAATGCTTGCAAAGTACCGCCACCGGGTCCCCCCGTCTTCCACTCTTTTTCTCTACCCTTCACTCCACAACTTCAAAATATAATTAGATTAACTCTATGGTTTTACGTCAGTGGAGCATCAAGGTCAATACTGATTTTGCTGTGCGTGATGATATTGAATGCCGGAAGCACAAGTGACAGTTGTCACACTATGTCCTGTATGGCATAGGCTGCCACACCTCGATAAAAGTCCACTGATCAGGCATGGGTAAATCTTCTCAAGACACCTTGGTTGCATGGTTTGCCTCGCATACGCAAAATGAAGGATGCACAATTGTATGAGCAAGGTTAAACTGTGACTGAAAAATGAGGACAAGTTTGAGGGCTATAGCAACCGTTTTAAGCCTAGACATCAAGGATAGGCCTATGATATTCATGGCTGTCTGTTGTTAACGGGAGAACGCAGGTGAACTCGTCACCCTCATTTTGGAGGCAGGCTAGGAAGGCCTAATCTCTAGTACAAAGATAATTAGATCACTTAGCCAAAGTCTGCTGCTAATTCTATCACATACCGACCCTTACACGATAAGTTTCCTTTTATGTAAATCCTAATCAGGACCGAGCGTACGAACCAAATCTTGTCCGACACCACTTTTTGTAGGGAAGCTTTCGAAGAGCTCGCTCACCACCCCCAAACATCCCGAGGTATGCGAATGTACGGATCAGCTTATGTTCACGAGCTTCTGTTGAGCAAGTGTACTTTAAGAGCTCACTATACACCCCCAAACATCCCGAGGTATGCGAATGTACGGATCAGCTTATGTTCACGAGCTTCTGTTGAGCAAGTGTACTTTTGGAATCGAACATACCCTTGACGTCAAGGCAAACGAAGATTGTGGGACATCTGTACGTATGGCGTTGCTCTAACACCTGGCAGAGTGTGAAAATGTGGTCGACACAACTTCTACCTGGTCAAAATCCCGTTTGATTCTCACGAATCAACTTTTTGCGTGCCACCGTAAAACAACTGAGAATCAGTGAGGCCAGGGACCTTGCTATAACAGGAGTCAAACTCTCTGAATCAAACACCTCCCTGATTACTATTTTCACTGCGAATCTCCCCAGTTTTCTCGAATGGTCTCTTTCTCGTAGCCAGACACTAATAGGCTAGACAGACACTAACTGAAGGATTCACCGCTATCGTTGAACAGAGTGGGTGAACAGTCGTCAGGGCCAGAAGCACAATGAAGCTTGAGTTGAGATATACACTCAGACACTTCTGAGGTTTAAGGCGGATCCGTATTCGCAGCCCACCTTTCTGTTGAAGGCCTACAGTCCGGATTGGAGGTAGCAGGTCGCCAACTGAATTGATATTAGAAGTACTGTGGCCACCGGTCAAAACGTCCTGCTTTGCTGGGCATCAGGGAGCCATTTTGGTCCCTGACAATTTCACTGGCGAGAATCTTCCGAGGACCAGTCGAACGAGTCAAGTGGAACAGCTTGTGGACGCTTCTAGCGTTTTTCCTGTCCATTAATCTTCGCCGGCTACACGGACACTCATTTTCACTTGGTGTCTGATGGTGCGTTGAATGCAGTTGCGGTTGCGGCCTGTCGCCGGGATTCTAGCAAAGGTACGGTCCTATCAGAGATCCAATGCTTGGGTCAGGTCGGCTGGATGTACTGCAAACAGCAGTTCCAGCCCTGAGTAGCGCTTTGGATATGTTTTCCCGGTAGCCGTTTAATCCAATATCGGTACATTCAGCATGCGTTCGACGAGCTGGTTCTGATAATTTCGTTTGATTTATGGGTCCAGTAGCTTCTCAGTGGCCAAACGACGTGTACGCGTTTGCGTAGACCTAAAAAGTGCAGTGAGAAGCAGCAGCGTACATGGTTGGAGTCTACGCTAGTGTTCCAGAAGGAGCGGTAAGCAGCGATTGACCCTCGCCACCGATAACTGACGGCGGTGTGGTCTTTTAAAATCCGTAGCTGTTTCGTTGATGGGCATCATGTCGTCAAGCGTTGTATTTCCAATTCAAGGCGACTAACCGGGCCCCAGCAGCGCTTAGCCTACCTACCTGAGCGTTCACGTCACCACCAAGAACAATGATATCTGAGTTTTTAGTCCGTTATAAAGGAGCACCGAAAGTGCCATTGATTCAGAGCTAGTCACTTAGGGGCTACGAAGACACAATAACCAGGGTACGATAGACCTGACTTTTCGGATGTTCTCTCAGATTTTGCCAAACGAATCGCACAGAGGTGACTATCAACGGGTCTCCAGTCAAGTAGAGACGCTTCCGCTTGGTCACCCAATACAATACCCACTCCAGCATATCCAGCTACAGCGAACTCTGCGTTATCAGAGATGCGCAGCCGGAAACTAGAAGAGAGCGAGAGGGCAGTCAGTTCGGTTGCAGTAGTTGCGTCCTGTATCCATGTTTATGGCAAAGGGCATACACCAACGCAAAGAGCATGCAGCGTAAGGGAGAGAGGGAGTCACCTGGTATACTGCTTGCCTCAGTATGCGAACATTGAAGGCAGTGGGGTATATCTGATTTTGAGGTTTCAAAACAGACTTTGAGACATTTAGCGTTGTCACTTAGTTCGGACGTACAGAAGCTGCAGCTGAGTGTGATACATGGTTGACAAAGCGGTTAGTCCTAATGCTGAGATTTCCGGAGATGATATTCAACGTGAGGTGGGGTAGGTTGGAAGAGTAGATACGTGAAAGTGTGAGAAGGGGGTTTCCCCTTACCCGCCCTGCCGTATGCAGCAAGCAAGGCGGTCTGGCTGGTCACACCATGCGACGGTCCTTATGGCTTGAACCTTTTGTCAGTTGTTCGCCGAGCCAAGTGCTACTTTCCTTGCCCGATTCGGGGTAGCGTAAGTAGATGCGTGTCGGTTTCTATTGACTGTCTCGTGTTGGATCTTTGGTGGGTTATCAATAAGTCTCGATTCAATTTTATTATTTCACAATGGAGGTTTCAAATATCTGAACCGCGATTACCAGCGCGTTACAGACTTGAACGCTTTCACCTATAAGTTCACGAGGTAAACTCAACAAAACTCAATAAAATGAACTGCGAATAAGCTAGACACCCTCCGTCTAAAAATGATGCTCTGACATTGTCTGTTTCAGTAAAGTGATAGGTAGATCAAGACGTACAGTAATACGCAGCTAGCGGGATATACGCAACACAGCCCTACAACGAAAAAGGTAGAAAATAGGTTTCTATAATCAATGTCTACCAAACGGTCAACATACTCTTGAACGTCTGATTCCTAATGGATCTTGAGTGATCCAAGAGTGAGGCTCGCAGGAAAGAACTTTTATAGTTCTAATCCACATTCCGTGTTACCTGGAGCTTCAACCAAAGGTCAGCCATGTGGCACGCTGTTTCGAGTTATACATAGTGCACACAGCAAGCTCTCCCCTGAACCTAATCGGATCGACTCTCTAGAATAGATACTTTTAGGGGCGCTTAGATGACAGCTAGGGAATGTGAAGGTATGAGTATGAGGGATGTTAGATAAGGGAAATCGGACACCGTTTATGATATCCAAGGAGAAAACGACTGTTGACTTTTCATATACACAACCAGGTTGGAAACGTTTTCTTGGGTGTAAAGACGGTCAGTTTGTTTACTCACTAGCGGATCGACTGCTCATCATGGTTGGCAGGATGCTAATGTAAGATGGCTTTCCTCAGCACCACAGGGGCGTTGCGACCATATACACAAATCAACAAATTTCTACTTTGGGTCTGTTTCTGACGAATGTTTGCGTTTTCGATGAGTGATGAGCAGCTCATGATTGCATAGGGTGTTCACTGTTATTGGTTCTCTGGGGCATATATGACAACTCATGACAGTATTGTATTGTCACCGGTGGTGCTGTGGAGACCAAATCTGCCGCAGGGACAACGTTCACTCGCACACTCTCAGGTTATCCTTACTTGAGCACACGCAGGAATTTTCTTAGGGGTCGTATGCGAAGGCAGCGATTTGGACGTCTGACGCAATTAGATGGCCTAACCTGATGGCACAGGTAGTAGGGCCTCAGTTCACGAGGTCAAAAAGAGCGTGTGATTTTTCGTGCTGCCCTTTTCTACCTCATCCTTCAATGGAAGGCAGCATTGAGTTTTCCATAATCCTAAAAATACTGTTCGCGTGGAATAAATAGACTTTTTTGTCGAGGACGCAAAACTATTCCGAGATCGCATCTCGATACGATTACTCATAAGAAACTTCGGTGGTCCGAATGTTTTCCCTCCTCAGCCTAATCACTTGATTAGCAAGATTCTGGCCAACGGAACCCATAGGGTCATTGAAGCACTCAAATCAGTCCTCTCTGTGATCTTAGCTCTTTATCGGGATAGGCTATACGACTTCAGGTGCGTGTAGAGAAGCCGTGTTTTCGCTTTATCTGATCAGATAAGCTGTTGAAGATTCTTTCGAAATTGAGGCTTTGTTAACTCTACGGCAGTAAAGCATCGGTGTCGAACACTGATGTCATGTTGTCGATGATGATGATGATCTGTTAACTCACCATAGGTCTTTGAATATCATGTGAACTGGCCAGAACTGTGACATGGATGTCATCAGTTGATTATATTTCAGTGCATTTCCCTGTCCATTTGCACTTCGTCATCCACACAGCTCTTATGATTCAGGCGGCAACATGGTACCATATTTTACCATGGATTAGGAGATAGTTTGAACTAATTGTTGTTGCTAAACTTTAGAGTTCTTTGTTTTACAGATGTGGAAGCCATGCACGATACATTTTATTGGGTGGAATTTTTACGCTTTGCGAGCTTGATTCCATCGTTTTTTTCTGGGAAGCTAATCATGCAGTGACTTCCTTCACTAACACAACAGCGTTTTTCACTAAGCACAACACAGACTCTTCTATTTTAATATGTTCTTCTTTCCTTTCAGTCGTAGGACGGCAAAAATGCAAAACGGGATGACGGAAACATCGCGAGATATTTCCGACTTACTGAAATTAACCCGAGAAAGTCCATACTCGCAAGATAACTGTATGTTTTATTGATATGCAGTTTGTCCAACCCATTTTGTTCTTTATAGGGAGTTCGGCTGATTCCGAAGATGAGCCCGCAAAGGATGGTGAGCAAAGTCAGTGCCCAGCTTGTCAGCTCAGTATAAACGATGGTAAAATTCTGTGTACACACGCATCTGGGCAGTCGGGTAGGTCTTCAGCGATATAGGACCATCATCATTCGTGCTTGTCAGGATCTTGGAAGACTTGCGAGGAACTATTGAAGAAACTGCATACGCATTTACATCTAGTGTCAATGGTAAGCATTCCGATATCAGTTTAATGGTAACAACTATGAAAAGGATAATTTAGTGTTGCAGTCTGAACTAGAGGTGTTGCGCAGAGCTTTCAGTTCGAAATGCGAGGCTGTGGAAATACTGAAGCGCCAAGTAAGCATACTTACATGTGATCTTATAATAAGCGGGGCAAGCCCTATAATTATGACTCCATTTTTGCTATTTTTTCAGTATTATTGTTAACCATGTGTACTTTTTAATGAAAATGTACTGGAAAGGCGGAAAACGAAATGCTAAGGAATTAGCCTAATTCAAAATCCCGAAAAATTCTAGAGAAATAGACAACGACCAGTGTTACCGGTTCCACCGTCTTCCTCTTCTGTAGGATTTTACTGTAGTATTCGAAAAGCTGCTACACCGTAACGCTGATATCAGGGTGATCAGTGATCATTCAGATACCATTCTTAATCAGCTTTATAGAATGCTCTATTCAGAGGACTAATGACAGTGCAAAAAATTTCAACGTGCTTCGAGAGAAATAGTTCCAATCTATTCAGAATACAAAAGTAGTAGTAGTTTCGACAAGGCCCTACCAGATAGGTACTCGTGTGGATAGCTCCAGAGGTTTAAGGCATGGTAAGTGAAACCTTGTTGGCTAGACTCAGGGGTAACTGATCCTCATATGGGTTCCTGGACCGCTGTCAGAGAGGTTCTTTGGGTGGCCGAGGTCAGTGTTTTTGGGATGACTGAGTTATGGCTGAGGCAATCTGACTGCAGTTGCCTCGGGCAACAGCTGGGCATTTACCGTCCTGCATTAGAGCCGAAGAAGCCAACATGTGACCAGTACGGTTATAAACTACCTGATCGACATGAGCCACCAAATCAACTCAGCTCAACTGTTCACCATGATTTATCGAATTCCGCCTAATCCTTCGCAGGTCATCTCGGGTCGTCGGGAGTCCACTGAGCTACCCAGGCCTGAATAGTATGGCTATTTCTGAGTTATGTCACAATGCCTTATCCCAACAACTTAGCGCATGTGACGTACAGGCCGGCGAAAGCGGACTGTCTTCACCTTTGTTGGCTACTTATGTATTTTGTACTGCGTTCTTCCTAATTTACGAAACAAAAGTTATCCTCTCTTAGCTATCTATGCTTGATGGTCTGAGGAACAGTATGTCCATTGCTTTGGCAAATGTCCCGTAGCTCTTCCTCGATGGAAATCACTCATCAGAGTTTTGTTTTCACTAATGAATCCTTCGTATTACGAATTTGAAGGAACCTTGTATACAGGACAACGGTCCAAACTTGCAATAAAAGCAAGAACCAACACGCACAAACCCACAGATAGAGAGGGAACCACACAGAAGCATTGAAATCCAAAACCGTGAGATAGTCCCAGTTTTGGACAGAGGGCATTGGTGGTCCGAACTGTGGTTTCCCGCTGTTTATGCCAGTTAAAGGAATGCGCTTACAAAAGGGAAGGTGTTCTGAGGTCGGAGCTTACAAAGATAAACAAACCTGGAGGGCTATTCGCTCAATAAGATCTACGTCGTTGTGGATCTCAACAAAAGTTACGGTGGAAGGTGTTGAGCTTTGGAACGCCTGTTGTGCGAAGAATCAAGTTTCGTTCCTCCAGTTGATTCAGTATTCTGTCGTGCTCTGTTATCAGACATTACTAACTCCCTAACATCGGTGTGCTGTCCTCTTGGGCGAGTTTCCGAAATTGTGCAATTCTTTTGGTTTTCGCCACATGAGGTTGTTGGCAAATTTATATCGAGCAGTAGTGGGGTTGAAAACGGTGTGGAATGACATTACGTATGATTTTGCAAGGGCCACGTGGTTTAATTAAGACGTATTCATGCGTCCCATTAGCATCCTGTTAGGTTGTGATGTGATTATTATGTACCATTCTAATCATGTGCCACTCTAATACTGAATGATAATTTGAAACAGTTTCAAGGACCCATGGTCATGTAAAGTGGCACATCGCTAACCATAGCATTTCATCACTAGCTATCGTCCTATCTTGAGAGGCGAACTGAGTAACATGCGCTTAGAGTAGGAGAACTGACTTCCTGGCAACTTTGTGAAACAAAAACTAAGTGAAGAAACAGTGTGTAAAAAATTGACGGCTCTCGCTTGGAGAAAAATGCTTGCTCCCGCCCTTTCCATAAGCCTTTAGTACTTCATCCACAAAACTTGCCGATTCAAATTCGGAACGCCGTGTACGAAGTTCTCAGTCAAATCAAATAGGTACGTACAGACCTTTCATCTGTTACCACTGAATGGAACACCAATCCTGAGGCTGGTGGTTCCATAGATGAAGGTGCACTAAACATCGGTTTATGTGAGGACCGTGTGATTTTGCGCCATCCACCTATTCTTACTTGGAACACCTCATTCAGTTCACCTTACCAACTCTCCTAGTTGTTATCAGCGGGACAGAGAGCGTTTGACTGTTCCGGAACTATTGTATGGGAACAGTGCCATACTATTGGCCAGCCGGGATGCTGCTAATGTTTTAATGTACAAAGCGGACTTTTTGAATGTGTATGGCGTATTCTCAAACATATAAAAATTTCAGATACAGGACAAGAAAGATAAACGCCAGTGGTAGGATAAGCTTCAGTATTGAAGTACACCATCAGAAAGAATGGATGGAAATTCGGTCCTCAACAAGGCACTTTATGACAGGTAAGTTTGTAACCAGTTGGGAAGACAACAACTTTGTCAACGTACTGACGATTTACGGGTTATTTTCGATGTTTAGACAACATCTTTTGCAATGCATCTGCAAAGTGTCAACCCGATTGATGTCTCTCGCATTCCCTTGTGTGGAGCCTGGAGCCGGTTGATGTATAAGCTTCCAAGGTTTCAGTTGCATGCGGGGTAATAATTTGGTCACAGTGCAGTGTGAAGAAGCCGCTTAAGCGAGAGGATATATCCAGTTTGAGAGTTTTACTTCACAAAAACAGCAGCTGTTTTGCGGATGCTTTGAGATTTTCATCTTCTGAGTATTTTCTAGGTAAACTAGACTACCTGAACCAGGCGTTTCTACCCTCGAATGCAGGTCCTCACCACCCTAAACTAACGGGGAGCATGTTTATGTTCTCGAGCCATCCGAAATGGACGCTTTTACTGAAGTCATACCGTCAAAACTTAAAATTTCCATTGATTCAGTTTGTGTGACTGCTGACCTTTATCTGAGTTTCAGTCGTGGTCCTGAAGGCGAAATCACCGACTACTACTCACGTCTGTTTATTCGTTCGCATATCTGGGTTGAGAATTGTAGCATGCTTCGCGAATTGAAGTATCTTTGCATAACATTTGACCAATCACACCACACACAGTGGTAGCTCCCTTCATCTCGCGTGCCATTCTCCTCATAATCGAGCAGTCATCTGCCGATTGCTGTCGTTTTGTCTTTTTTTTCTTGTGTTGAGCAACAAGCACTTTACTTTTCACATAAATTCAACATATGACAACCGTAGGTACTCCTAGTAATGCAGAGGTTGCCTGTTTTCAGGCCATGCATGTATGACACTCGGTACTCTCGAGGCACTTTATTTTGTTTGGACTGGCTTCTTTCAGTAAGTTGTTCTGTGTATCGAAGATACGATTTTCTTTTGGAAAAAGTACTGGCAATGGACGGCGATGCACAGGCACAAAGTACAAATACTAAAATACAGAAGCAAATGCTGTTAACTTTTGTTCCATACTAGAGAATCTTCATCGTTGTCTAGCCATTTGGAAGTTTCGAGTGGTGAATTACATTGTATGTCTGAACGATTGCCTAATCGATCTAGTTTTCCCGTCCTTCATCCGCCTTGGTGTCCATGAATCGGTAACATACTGTATAAGAACATCCACAATGAAACTGAGGGAAGCGTAAAAGTTGATATTTACGATGGCACCGAGTCAGCAAGGTTTCTCATCAATGCTGTTACATAAGAGCCAACTATCCTGGTCAGCCATATTGGATCATGACTTTCTAGGCTGAATAAGGATTAGGAACGAAATACTTTGGCAGGATCTCAACAAATGCATGTTAGCAAAGGCGAGGACCACGGGCTCCCTAGGCTCAAATGGCTTTTAAGAACTTAAGGGCTGGTCGACTTCTTCACTTCGAACATAGCTAGGAACAGTGTGATTCACAATGCACGTCAAATGTCTAGGTTACCTCAGTTCAATTACCAGTAACGGAGCTGCGCATATCCAATGGCTGGCCATTCGGATTGTTCGCTAAGCAGGGCAATTTGGTTGCAAACGTTTATAACCAGTCAGCGTGACATCAGTATTTGTGAATGGATGTACGTTTAGATTGAAATGAATTCTCTGAGTTTTCTGTTTCTGCATAGAGTACACTTTCTGAGAGGTCATGATTTATCCTGGCTTTCAGCATGAATAATGCCATTTCGCGAATTTAACCCAAATTTCCGCCTTCCTCGACCTACAGGCCTACAAACCATCTGGAGATACACCCTGCAATCTGGATGCGTTTCAGGGCGCACTGGCTGCGAAAGATGTGAGTTGCCTACAAACGATAGTTGCTTAACATTCTAGTATGATTAATCTATGGCAGCACATCAGACTGTTCGCTGAAGGACGCACAACTTGTTGGTGGTGTGAGGGCATGAATGAGATGTCTGAGCTCATTGGGTTTCTTTTGGTACGAGAAACCTTAGTTGAAACGGCAAAGGTGCGGAACACCAGCTTTTAATCACTCATTTGCAAGCTAATTTGGTGTTCGTGGGAAACTAAAGTGAAATTCAACTGAATGTGTCGTTCATTTGTAGAATGTGATGAGTGGGAGATTCATTCGAATTCCGGTTGAGCTGCCCCCAACCTAATTTGCGAATGGACGTCCGTCACCTATAATTAGGTATTGAGGTATTGAGATTGGATATTCGGGAACTGCCACCACTTGTTTATCCTCGAGAATGGTGAGACTATCTAGAATCTCCTCCATCTTGTGAGTAGTGTCATGTTAAAGAAACCGATGGTCTTTGCTGAAAAACGCAAAAATCCTCAAAAAGACAAATCAGAAGCGTCTGCAGTTCTGTGGTTCGTCTTAGTTACGCAAGGTGCCTGCTTTTGATTTTCGCGGTTGCTCATCCTTCTTTGACACTCTTATATTGCTTATTAATATATCTGCTTTTTTGCTGTACCGGAAAAATGATTAAAAATTGACAGAGTTTTCCACCCAATAATCCACAGCAATTCATAGGAACTACTTTCTGTAGCTGGCAATTGGTTCCGTGGAAAATGCATACTCACACATACTCGCGTTGTGAACCATGCCATCATGCTCATTGATGGGCAATGTGTTCATCGCTGGAGTTTCTTTCGAGATAAATGGCCGCGCCGGATTAGATTGTTAACTCGTTACGAATTGTCTGAGTGATGCCTGCTCTCAACCTTATTTCCTCGTCCAAACGATCTCCATTTCATCGAAATGCTTGACTTAACCTATCACGGACCTATCACTTAAACTATCACCGACCACAATGGATCTCTTTTCATACAAGTAAATCCAGCTGATATTCTGTGAAGAATGCTATCTGTAGATTTGCCAGCTAGATAAGTGATCACCGAAGGTGCGTGAGAGAGCTTAATTCTCAACCGAACGTTGAGCTACATGAATATGTGTTGGGTCATTTATAGAATGAAACTGTTTTCTCGAACCGTGCTATTAACTTCAATGTTTTGAAAGAAATAAGCTGAAGACATAGCTGAAATGCGTCCATAATTACTCCAGCAGGAGGATGGCAGGTTGGTTTATCTCAAGTAATGCTTCTCCCATATCCATACATTTTTATACAAAGTGAAAGACAATATAATTCGTTTGACTTTCAGATGATGTTATTTGGTTGGTTAGAATCGCGTTTTGGTGGCTGGCACTAGTTTGTGACCCCGCATCCACGTCTTAAACGTATGTGACCAAGTACTCACCAAATGTGTAGCACAACTAGTTAATGATTCATACTGCTACCTTGTCTTAACTCTATTTACATTCCCCCCTAGTGACAGCAAGTCATTAGTTTTTTACGCCAGTGCTGTTCATACAGGAACGGATGGTGCGCAGTCCTCGAACGGATCGATAACCACAATCGCCGTCTCGTTTTTGTCACGAAAAAGTATTTCATGGCTTTCAGATAGCTCATAATGGAAAACGAAGCCATGCTAAGAAACAGCTAATCGTTCGGGGATGGATGCGATGGATTCTGACATCGATTTCAACTTATTTTTAGGTGGCACAATGAAGGTTGTGAGCACTTCTGGTCGAACAACCTTCAGTCTGTTGAGTTGCATAACATAAGAACAGTAACATGAGATCCTCGCTATTCAAGCCGCAGAGCCTGAATTGTAATTTTTCCGAATTTGAACACGGTAACTTTACTCTGTTCTACTTTTTCAGGAACTTGCTCGCGTCCAAACAGAAATGGCTATTTTGGAAGGAAAATTGCAAGCAAATCAGCTTGCGTGGGAAACAAAATCGAAAACGTATGATTTTTCAGAATGTCTTTTTGTTTGTCTACTCTATCGCCCACTCCACGAATCTATTGCGAGTCCAAAAGGTGCGCAATTGATACTTCCGGATACCTTCCCTCTGACTTTCCGTACTCATTAATATATGATTTCGAAGTTATTCCAACAGGACATCGTGGGTATGCTTCCAAATAATCATTCTTGGGTTACCGATTTCTCGAGGATTTCTACTGCCGTTCAAGCAAGCCGGAATTTTATTCACCCTCAGAGTACAGAAAGCACGAAACTGGAGCCCATTATAATGCCTCGATCGATTATACAGCTGTGGCTAATGCCTGTTTAGTTTGTATGAAACTAGCCTCAGGTCATGTGGTTTTGTTGACCGACACCTACCCGCTTCGTCATGTGCTCCAGCTGCGACGTGATATCATACGCATTGATGCCGGTTTCAGTTGTATGTGGTACCAATCCGTCAATTGACGAAACACAAACTCCAGCCTCAGAAACATGTAGTAAGCGTTTTCAGTCTATTGGGAAAAGGTTTGAAGTCGATTAAGAAGTCATCATTTCAGAAGAGCTTGGTAAGCTACCGATTGTTGATCAAGACATTTTGAAATCGAGTCAGTGTGTTCAAATTTAGTTGGTCGGCTTAAGTAGAAAATCTTCGTCAAAGTGTCTCTTTTTGGGTTGGTTTGCATGCTCCAACTTAACCGAACTGTTTGTAAATTTGAGTTAAGATTTTGTTTTATGCATGGAGCATTAAAGATTATTCAAACCTTTCGTTGCGGATTAGCCTAGACGAGGGTCCGTATCGTTCAGGTTCGATTCAAGTGACTGGATATGTAATAACCAAAACCCGCCATACCAGCAGGCAACGAGTACGACGGCGCACGCAAATCCCTCAAACGCCAAATAGTGAAGAGTCTAAGGAAAAACCGAGAGCTCTGGTGGACATCGAAAGCTCGGGAGATGGAGAAGGCTTTTGCTACGATAAGTGAAAGGCTCATTAATTCACTCGCAAAAACGTCGACTGGAGAGATGGACCGAACACTTCGAAGAGCAGTTCAGCTGGCCTCCTGCCCTGCAGCC